AATGTTGTGTATCGATTTCAAAATCGATCTAACCGAAATATACAGACATCGATTCATAATATTTTATGTGTCGGGGAAGGCGTAGGCCAAGTGACGCACAGAAGAAAAGTCTTACACTCTTATGACAATGGGGATTTGATATAATGCTGATGCTGCTAGATGATTTTGAGACTGAGAAAGAAAATGGCACAACACAAAATGAAAAATTGCTCTTCACACCCTAAGTAAAAAAACATTAATTGTAATTTTGTATTATTATTAAAAAAAGGTACATAATTATTCATTAATCGACAATTGTATATAATTATTCGCACTAGGTAAATCAGCCTTATAATACTAAAATCTTGGTCATGGAATAAATAAACATATTTGTTCACCAATCAATCAAAAATTCAATTCATCAATCAAAAATCAAAATTCATCATCATCGACGCTTTCCAAAATCCGAATGAGTTCTGAGGAATCGTTCATGTTGCATTGCTCTACTTTTCTCGGTAATCACTTATGACGTCATCAGGGTGTCGTCTATCCTTGATCACGGTGCCCAGTGAACTGATTTTCGATGACGCGCTAAAGATGCGCTAGAGTTGAGATATTAGATTTATTACGCGAAGATAATCTGATAACATTTTTTTTATTCATGTAGCTAATTATAGTTTTATGTTTATAACCTTTAATTTTATTCAAATATCAATAATAATAGAAAAAAAAACACCATTGAGCTGAATTTTGGATAGTTTTCAAGAAATCTATGCCTCCCGCGTTTGACACTAGCGGTCAACCATAGACGACTTTGGCGTGCTGGACATAGTATTTGCTTAGATAAAAATCCATTTTTATTAGTTCAATGTTTCTTAGTACTTGTGGCTCTAGAAGACTTGTTTTTTATACTCACATGTTGCTGGGTTATTCCTATTTTGAGGAGTGTAGAATTAAAATACCTGTAATAATTTTCCAATATCTATATTTCATATTTTTCGGAGCCGGGTTTTTTGTCAACTATAGACGTCGTTGGCGCTCAGGGCCCGCAGGTGTTGGTCAAGTATAGGCGACTTTGGCGCTCAAAAGGTTAAAGGATTCGTGGTAAATCAGCTGGAAACTAACTTGTTTCGTTATCATAAAATGATTCTATTTTAAATGTGTTGTTATAAACAGATAAGAATAACTTAACCGATCTTCTTTAAAAACAGATAAGAATAACAGTTCTTATCTGTTTTCAAAGAAGATCGGTTAAGATTAACAGTTAAATTGTGCCGTAGCATTTGTTACTCTTTAAAGAATTCATTAGAAATCAGCTAGTAATTCGCTTGTTTAATTATCGTAACATCATATTTATTTAAAAATTATATTAGCACTGTAATGATGACACCGTAAATAATCAATCGAAAAAGAGAATCCATTTTTTAAATGTGTTTTGTGATTGGCAACACTTTTTTTTATTCACAAACTAATGACATAATGATTTACCTAATTTTTATTATTATGTTTCCGGTACTTTTAATTTGTGCAAAAATATTCCCATTGTTCGAGGATAAATGAATACCGCGATTAATAACCATAAATAAAGATATAATTTTTTAACAAATTCACATTGTTGGGCGTTCCATGGCCGAAAATGGGCATCCCCTTTTCGTCACACGTCCTCTCCCAACAGCGCTGCTGCTAGAACTAATTGCCGCTAGATATTAATACTTAATAGCGCCAAAGCGCCATAGCGCAATAGCGCCATGGCGACTACTTACATAACACGCACTATGTGTTATGAAGAGATAGCGCGCTATAATATGGCGCTATGCGCTATATTAACCACCATTAGCCAGAACTCACCAAATCCGTGCGGAGTATTTTCTATCGGCCCACAAAAGTCTTGTTAGGAGGATTTGTCTTAATAGTTTCGATTGGCAGGCGGCTTGACGATCGAAGTACCACGCTACCAGGCACTTCGCACCTTTGACGTTGTTTGATTTGATTTAGTGGTTAATTATACCGCCATCTATCGGAAGTTATAAGATCTTTATCGCATATCTCAAAATAGGATGTTGTGTGTTCTCTTTTTTTAACCGCCACAAAGCGCCACACGCTCACACCTCACATTTAAGCTTTGGTGAACGTACCTATTAAAATATTAATACCCGTATAATATTTAATTTGTAAATATAAATAAAATAATATTGTTATTTTGTTTTTGTTAGCCAACTGTAACGGTTTTTTATAATATGTATTAAGGAATTTATGGATGATAATAACCCCTGGGAAGGGTGATCGCTACCTAGCTATTTCTAATTTGTCTTGTGTTGTTTATTGTAAACATTATTGTAAGCTATTATTGGAAAAAAATAGTCCCGCTGGGTTTCTTGCTGATACTTCCCAGGACAGAGGTTTTTTTTGCGAACCAGTGGTAAATGAAAAAAGTGACTTTCAATAAGTATTGTTACAATCTACATTGAATATAAAAGTTTCTGTTTCTGATGATACGTGCTTGTTAGAAAGCGATTTCTACATTTCGTTTTTATGAAGGAAAAATTCTTTCACAAGTGTTAGAACTGAATTTTGCTTTGGTAAAAATACAAACATATGGGTACTTTTCATTTTTGTTACTATCGAAAATACCAAACTTATGACAAACGATATCATATATAGGACGAACTTTCATCAAATTTCATTTTCGATGTTCTTGGTCATTCATAGTTACTCTTCATATTCAAACAAGCTTAAGATTATTTACAAATAAATAAAAGAAGTGACAGTACAGACCAACTAAACAGAATATTAATTTCCTAAAGAACAAAGCATGGTGGCGGCAAAAGAAAATATATTTAGACTAGTAGTTAGATGTAAGATGCCACTATGGGAAATTGGTATACGACAGAAAGGTCATAAAGCTTTTTACAGATGGCGGTATAATTATCTTTTTCCGCGAGACGTAAAACACCCAGACCAGCTACGGTCAGAAGCGTCAAAGGCTTAAGGGTGTGAGCTGAGACGTCTAGTAAAGTGGGTCATGTCCAGAAGTCCATATCTAGGCGCTGTTAAAAAAGAAGAAGAACGAACTAACGAACATACTTATTTTCCCATCTCTATGTTTTCATACTTATAATTTAGTAAACTAATATTAAAGCTGCAGAAACTATATCATCAGGGAATAAAAATTGGTAAGTACTGTAGGGTCCACGACAGAGCGCATTCTAATTCATGACGTAGTTCTTTTATCTTTATTATTATCATGTCTAAAAAAGGATTAAGATAAAGCAGCGCATAGAGATTTTTTACGTGGTAGAGCCACGCTGTGGCTATGTTATAGTTGTACCACGAATTGGCTGGATTCTGTGCGGGCGTTGTCCTGCCCAGGTCGAGCCAACCGGTTGGCTCGACCGGGGCAGGACAATGCTCTCACAGAATACCACCGTAAAGTAGCAGCGTAATGTTGCTGTGTTTCGTATGATGAGTGTAGGGAACTGGAGACCCTTTTTTACTGAAAGCCATGCATTCCATCTTAGTCCTCAACGCATTTGCATTTTGATTCTCAATTGAGAATAAATGTGGATGTCTATGGGCCACAGCATCCTCTTACCATCAGGTGGACAGTGTGTTCGTTTGTCACACAATGCTATAAAAAACAATCTTTTTTTGTTTTTAAAGTTTCCAATCCATCATTAGACAAACTGCTATATGTCATTTGTAGATTAGCACTTTACTACCAAATCTGGTAACCCTTGTATTCACGATCATTTGTGGGGTAGCCAAAGAGTCTAGTAACTGTCCTATACAGGAATATAGGGCTAGATAGCATTTAAATTAAAATGAAGATACTGTGTGATTATTAGATATAGCCTTCATTGATTTTCTTTCATATGTCGGCTTAGAATTCCGGAGTGTTACAAAATATCAGTTATTGTACTTAAGACCTTTTTGTATTTATTAACTCCATGTGGGATGGCTCTCCTTACTTCTACACTCCATGATTGCGATTTTAAGGAGGAAGAAGAAGAGCACGCTGCAACTGTATCATGGTTGTTGTACGAATGGATCCGCTCGAGTGAGGTATGACTACGCTCTCACAGAATACCAGCGTTCAATAGCAGCCGAATGCTGCTTGTGTGTGTGTGTGTGTGTGTGTGTGTGTGTGTGTGTGTGTGTGTGTGTGTGTTTCGTATGGTGAGTGTAGAGAAACAGATACCCTTTTTACTGGAAACGAAGCACTCCATCTTAGTCCTCAGATTTGACGACGCATTTGAATCCTAATATTGGTTAGGTTGAATGTACATGTCTTTTGGCGACAGCATCCACTTATCTTCAAGTGAACTCTATATTCGTTAATCACCCATATTCAAAGGATAACAGAATATAGATAAAGATGTATAAAATATAGGAATATTAAAAGAAATCAAACGTTTCTAATAACAAGTTTTATTTCGTATAATAATTTAAATAACAATTATTATGTGAGAGGAAATTTACAAAATGCATATTGCCAGCCCACATTACGTAACGTATTATTAAGTTGTAATTACTGAATGTACACCAAAATAGTTCGTAGCGTATCGATTACACACTTGTTTATAATTAGACATAAATATAATAGTGACAGGAGATACAAATTATAGAATTGGCCAATAATTTTCTTCTTGAATCAAATTTTCGTTTCCCATTTTCTTAACATATCCTTATAGAATCTAATTCTGATATTATATTAATAATATTTTTATTCTTTGAGATTTCCAAATCTCATTACAAACAAAAACTTAACAATAAAAATAAATAACCATTATAAAGCCAATTGAAAATATTTTTTTAACTTTTTCTTCTTTTTTGTTTATAAAAGACTGCAACAGTGAATATCAGCAGATTTTATTAACGATTAGTTATTCGTGTAACACTTCATTTACATTATTCATAAATTGATTACGTATTTGGTGAACACATAAATATTTTTGATATAGGTATTTGTGGACTGTAACCTAACATTTAAAATTAAAATAACCTAAACTTTATACGTCTCGTCATTGATTACCATCAGGTGGATTGAAGAATTCCCAGTGATGATGATGAACCGTTCGGCTGTCGCTGAGACCAAACATAATCAAACCAGCTATCAAAACCAGAAATATAACCAACGCCATTTGCACGTCTTTTTTATTCTCGTGGCCGTGAATGTAAGACATAAATACATTGAAAATATTTCTTATGGTCCTAGTAATTGAATTATGACAAGCCCGTAGAAACTGTGCTCCTGTTTCGGTAACTGAGGGTTCATGAGGCTTGACTGGCGGTGGTATTCGCCTTGGTGAAGGTCGTGGTCTATTTTCTTCTGAACTAGATTCACTAGCCTGAGGGGCAGCAGGCTTCCTTTTTACTCTTCGTGTTGGTGGTGGAGGAGATTGATAGTGAGATTCAGCGTAATCTATAATCGGTCTTTCACGGAAAGAACGAGGATACAGACTTGTCGATGGTAATGCTATATCCTGTAAGTATGAATACAAGAGTGGGCTTAAGTCAGGCGGAGGTGGTCTTTGAGGTGGTATAACAGAATCATCACCAGTCGTGGGTTTTTGTGGCGGTGGAGATGCTTCAGTTTGACAGTCTGTTGTTATCATAACGGGCTCAATATTTAACCCACTTTTAGCGACTGCAGCCTGCACTTCTTCTGTTTGAGTATGTTCCTCTCTACTAACTGGTCTTGGTACATCACCAACATCTTCGGTAAGAGATATCACTGGGACATTGATTGTAGATATCTCAGAAAACTTTTTAACAATTTCGTCAATGACCGATTGAGAAAATTCAATACCACTTACGGATATATGCCCTGATTTTGAATCCAATTCACTCACTTGCAACGTCATTCCTTCAATATCAGATACTAAAATCTTACTTGCTTGTAGTTCAGAAACATTCAGTCTGCCAACATCTAAATCTCTCACCTGAAGCCGTTGTGTGACTAGATTATCTAACTGTACTTCCTTAGATCCTTCAGATATTGTTTGAAGAGTTCGTTCTTCACTAGATGAAATTACTTTTGAAGGGCTCGTACTGGCGGGTATCCCTTTTGATTTTGGAAGTGGAGGCACTTCTGGTACTTTTGATTCGTCTATATCAATATGTTTTACAGTTAAGGAGGCTTCAGTTAACATTTCTTCATGTTCATTAATTTTGGTTGGACTAGATACTCGTTTTTCAACCAAAATTACCGTAGGTGATGAACGGTCAATGTTTGTTTTCGAAATTTCAGATATCTTAGGATCTGAAAGTTTTAGAGATTTCTCAGATCGCGAAGCAATGTGAGAGATTCGAGAGCTCTCTGAAATCTTTCTTCTTCCTCTCCCAACCATAGATTCTTCATCAATAATGTCCCTTAAGGAACTGGACATTGATATATCAAGATTTTCATCCAGACAAAATTCAAAGTCAACATCATCCGGTAGTGGATCTGTTTGAGTTGACACTTCTATTTCTATTACATCCTCTGATCTCATTGAGTCAGTTGTATGCCGAAGGAAGGTCTCCGAAGGTGAAGTAAGTTCAGTCGATATTAAATCTAAGGATTTTTCACCAAACTTTTTTTTTCTCTTGGGACCTCTGGGTGGTCTGGGTGGTGGGGGAAGTGGTCTATCTTTCATTTTTTTAACTACTTCTCCAGATATTAAATCCTTGTGAACTTCTTCGAATTGTGGTTCTTCAATTTCTACATATTGCGTTATGTCTCCACTGACGGATCGCTTTGTGAAGCTATCTAATGTCATTAAGCTAGTTGAGGATTTTTTCCGCGGTGGACGGTTGGGAACTGGGTCTTTACTAGGTCCCACTGTGTAATACTTTCTTTCAGAACTATTGCTTTTACGACGCCGAACTGGTGGTGTTTTACTTTTAGACCGTCTGACATCTTTGTGTGGTGCATATGAGCTTTTGTCTACAGTTGCGTATCCGGGGCTTTCTTGTCTTGTCTGTTTTTCGTTGTCCATTATATAAGCTGTTGGTAAATGAGTATCCATGGTAAGAGACTCGGCGCCATGTGACGTACGGTCATCGTCGCATAGAGAAGTACCGCGAGAGCTTCTTGAACGGTTTCTTCTGGGAGGGACTGGGCTTTGTTCTGTTGTTGTCTCAGCTTGTGGTACGATGTACTCGTGTTCTGTTCGATAAACGATTATCTGTAATTTAGAAAATATGTTTTAAAAACAGTAATTACGAAAATTAAAAAAAATGTTATGTAAACTGTTTTTTATAGATTTAATATGTGCCAAACATTACATAAATTTAAGTTAGATTTATTATATTTTGCCACGCGATTGAAATTAGAAGACATACTAGGTTGCACTAAAAGTATCGGGAATGGAATATTTACACTGTTCCTGTCATATTAAGATCTTTTTAATTGAAAACTCCTTGGTTTTAAAAATCGAATACCATTTATTTATTTAAAAAAAGATTCTCGGTCTTGTCACAAGGTTTTGTCAAACTTGTTTAGTCGTTGAGAAAATGGAATTGACTCGAGAAAATTCAAGAGCGATGATTTATTATGACTTTCGTAATAGTTTAACACAAAAACAGTGTGTTGATCGGATGATTTCTGCATTTGGTGATGAAGCCCCATCCAAAACCACAATTTATCACTGGTTTGCTGAATTTCAACGTGGACGTGTCAAGCTCAGTGATGATCCCCGTCAAGGTCGTCCAAAAACTGCAGTCACAAAGAAAACGTTGATGCTGTGCGTAAGCTGATTGAGGAAGATCGACATGTGACATATCGCGAAATTCAGGCAACTTTAAACATTGGCATGAGTCAAATAATCTTGCATGAACAATTAGGTGTAAAAAAGTTGTTTGCCCGATGGATACCGCATTCGCTCTGTGAAGAGCAAAAAACGGCTCGCGTTACTTGGTGCGTCAGAACTCTCGAAAGAATCCACGCAGGATTCTCAAATGCTGTATACAACATCGTATTAGGTGACGAATCCTGGATATATGCGTACGAACCCGAAACAACAAATCAGTCACGAGTTTGGGTGTTCGAAAATGGGTTAAAGCCAACAAAAATTGTTCGTTCACGGAGTGTTGCAAAAAAAAATGGTGGCCACGTTTGTCTCCAAAACCGGCCATGTTACGACTATTCCTCTTGAGGGACAAAGAACGGTTAATGCGGAATGGTATGCTAGCATTTGTTTGCCACAGGTCGTTTCTGAACTCCGTAAAGAGAACTGGAACCGCCGCATCATCCTCCATCACGACAATGCAAGTTCTCAGACCGCACACAGAACAAAAGAGTTTTTAGAGCAAGAAAACATAGAATTATTAGACTAAGGATTTCTATACTTTCCCTAAAATAAAGAATAAATTTCGTGGACAGAGATTTTCATCACCTGAAAAAGCTGTGGACGCCTACAAAACGGCCATTTTGGAGACTCCAACTTCGAAGTGGAATGGTTGCTTCAATGATTGGTTCCATCTTATGGAAAAATGTGTCAAATTTCGCGGAGAATACTTCGAAAAGCAATAAAAACATTTTTAAATAGTAATGTTGTGTCACTTCCTTGATTCCCGAAGTTTTCAGTGCCGCCCTCGTATTGCCCAAATTCTCAAACGCTGCTCAAATTTAAGATGCCGTAAAGTCTCGTGCTGTCTCTTCCTTCAACAGGTTAATTCCGAAATAAAAACGAAAATTATGTGTTTTTTCAGATATTCTCAAGTTAAATAGAACTATTTTTACAGATTTTATTGCGTTCATTCTCGCGATTGATTACATTTTTAAGTTTTATAACCTAACATCTCATGTTTAAGTCAGTCTTTTATTAATAAAAATGTATTGTGTCTTATGCGTGTTGTGAGATATTACAAAATTTATGGACCATAAAGTTATATATAAATTTCATTTTATAAAATAAATGTTTCGTCTTTCATGATATGCAAATAATTTAAATTCAAAATATTTATTGCAAGTTTAGTGTTACATTTGGCGTTAACTTCAAACTGTCAAAATTACCAGTACCATATAGGTACTACAATTACATTACCGAATCACAATTATTTAGGAACACCAAATGATAATAAAATGATTTAAAGTTAAATCAAGCGCGACTTAATCTGTAGAAATAGTTCTAGTAGTAGTTGTGTATTTTTTTAACAGGTGACTATAAAGAAGACAACCCGAAATTGACTCTTAAAAAGATTGGCTATCTTCGTCAACTCATTCACACCCCCAATGTAATGTTTATTTACATAAACAATTATTTTTTAAAGAAATAATTCTGTACGTTATTAGTAAGAATTACGTATTTTACCATATTCTCTATAATTATATGATTATCAAAACTACATTATTTTTTTAATTAGCAAATAGAATTTTATGACTATCCATTTTTGTATAAATATATATTAAATTAAATATATATACGATGGTGTAATAACAATTCGGTTTATATCGAACATACAAAACCGGACCGGTGATGTGAAACAGGACAGAACATTTTTGTTCCTAGCAAGGCAGCGTCTAAGGGTGCGTTGGAATAGTTTTCGATTTGATTTTGTGACTATCACAAACCCTCTCTAGAACGGCGGAGTCCTATGTCTGGAAATCAGTAAGAAATAGCTTTTTACCTTGCAACGATGAGGAAAAAAGCAACAAATAGAACAGTCATTAAACTTAAAATTGTTATTAATTTAGTTTAGTTTTAAAATTCCGCTCATTACTTTGGTTCAGGATTCCGTTAGGATTTATTAGCTTAGGATGGGAACCTAATAGTTACTGGACCTAATTGACTTTTATATTCGTACAATCTGTATACTTTTAGACTGATTTATCACAAATATATTATATCTATTAGTTAGAGACTAGTTTCTGTAATTCCAGTAAGTTCCAGTAAGTTAAGAAACGTCGGGTATCAAAAATAAATAAAACGCGATAAAATCCGTAAATGTAGTTTTAATCAATCCAGTAAGTTCTATTAAAATTATAGAGATATGAGAAAAGTTTTATCTTTCTTTTTTAACGTATCCATCGTTAGTGTTTTCTCATGTATTATGAAAAATTGCACAAGGATACAGAATAATTATTTGTAGGTCATACGGAGAGGCACAGTGAAATGATCGGAAATAGAATATTTCAGATTGAGTTACAATAAAACCTTTTTAGAATTTTAATACTGGCCTCTTAGAATCTTAATGACATTCAAACAATTAAAAAAATGTTTAAAAACAAAAACTATGTTGGCTTAAAGTTGACATGTCGTTAAGAAATGGAGCTCACGCGTGAACATTTCCGTGCCATAATTTATCACAATTTTCGTCGCGGCTTATCTCAAGATAAATGTCTCAGCGAACTTGTTTCGATTTATAACGTTGAAGCACCGAGTCAAACGACAATATAACGCTGGTATGCCGAGTTCCGACGCGGTCGTGTGTCGCTCAGCACTGTTTCTTCTGCAGGTCGACCAAGAACAGCGGTCACTCCTGAAAACTTCGCAGCTGTGCGAACTATTATATTAGATGACCGTCATGTGTTATACGAGCAGATTCGTGCTGTTATCAGTATCGAAATGACAGTAATTTAGTCGATATTACGTAATAAGCTGTGTGTAAGAAAGCTAGTTTCCCGCTGGGTTCCCCAAAATTTGTCCGAAGAGCAAAAGGCGGCTCGTGTAGATTGGTGCCGGAATACTCTGCGACGCTTCAACGGAGGGAACTCAAATACCGTTTATAATATCGTCTCAGGTGACGAATCATGGATTTATTCGGAATTCGAAACCGTGAAAAACCGTTCGGCGCCCTCAAATGCTCAGTCTCAGCTACTCAGGAACCCGGGAAGGCCGATGCATCAGAGAGTTAATTTTCCGGCCGGTACGGTCTCTGCGTGGTACGGTAGTCGTAACGCAGGTGAATTGGGAGGTAGTGATAACATTGCATTAATGATATGCGGTAACGGTGAAACACGGAGTTCAGTTGGCGAGAACCCGAAATAACTTTTTCTGACTCCAACCAAGCGGGTATACGTTAGCAATTAAACAACAATGCAGTGATAGAAATATAGAGACAACCACGCTTCAAAATAATCCGAAAGCCAACATTTTGTACTTTTAGACAAACCCAGGATCCACAAAGTACTAGTCAGGTACTCTTACCACTACACCATGTTGTCGATGACACATTAAATGTGTACGTAACTTCAGTAACATTTCTTTAAAGAAGATCTCTTAAGAATCTGCAAGACAAGAAGTCATCACTCTCTATTAAGTTTTTATTTATTAATATCAAGAAAAATTATCTAATACATATTGCATCATTAAAATAATCATTGATGTTTCTCTGTAACTGATAACCTTCAGCGCATCCAACTGTGACCTTGTGTTTAAATATAAAAATACACATTTGGATCTTGAACCAGCCAGTATTTAAGATTTAACTAGGTCAACAATCGGACAGAGACGCGCGTCTTAAAATATACGAGTTTCATCCCGAAGTGAACGTATTCACTGGGCATCTGCCAAAACAGACTGCTCTTAAGTTAGGCTACTAATAATACGTAATTCACTTTCGTTTTGATTTAGTGCCGTGATATAATTGCAGCTAATATATTATTATTATTATTTGGGGTATCTATATAGTTTTCTCATCTGATTGGGTTCTATAAATATATAATTGTAAATGAAAATGATAAATATACATAAATATTAATAAATATTAAATAATATAAAACAAATACATAAATAAATAAAAACCTAACGAGATAGAAGTTCTCGGCAGGAGAGACCGTGGGTTAGGAGGAAAGGGAAAGAAACCGGCGGACGATGTAGGGCGGTATCGAGTGGCAAAATCGGATCGGTCCGTTACGGAGTCCCAGTCGCTTCAGATGACCCGAAAGGCTGACTGGGATTAACCAGTTATTATTATTATTATTCCATCCATCAAGCCGTTAAAGTCTATAAAAGTCCATTGCTGAATATATGCCTCCATCATAGATTATATAGTTACCACCCTTGGCAGGTGAACATAGGCCACCCCAAAAAATTCCTTTATAATGCTACCCTTGGCAGGCGGGTTGATAACCGCAGGTTTTTTATAATTTCGAGTTGTTGTCAGGATGATACTGCTGCCTTCTCCTATTTCAAAAACTGATTGGGCAGCATATGTGGATTCAATTCAATATTATTTTGATCTAAAAATGCAGTTACTTTGTCAGATGGTAAAATCGTGAAAGTGTCACCTACGTTGTAAAATCTTGTATTTACAGGAGCAATGGGAAGGGCTTTCTTTACATAGAGGACTTTGGGAACACTTTCACAGTTGTACCATCTGACAAAGTAACCGCATTTTTTGACCACCCTAACTCGATGTTACCTTCTTAAAATTGTTTTTCTCGTATAACTAATAGTCATAGTAACTGAATGTTGAACTAAATATAACATTGCAGAGAAATATCACGTCAACATAATGAGAACTGGATTACGATGTGAATCCTGTTGAATGGAACTCACACAAACAAATAATCTAATGATGAATTAGATACATTACTAGACAGCTCAACAACAATTACAATGAACACATATCAGAAACAAATTACAATGAACACATATTAAAAAGGATACCTTATTATATGCGAGCATTACATTTCATTTTTAACAGGCTATCAATGTACATTACCAAACATAGGCAATTTTTTCGTAATGTCACGCTTGGCAGATGACACTACTGCCGATGACAGATAACGACAGATGGAGACAAACCAAGACTGGTTTTGTCTCCATCTGTAGCCTCCTACGACACCCATGAGACGATATGGGGTAGTGGATATTTTTACACGTCTGTGCCATTATTTAGCCAAGTAATTTCTATATCAGATCCCATTTGTCACCTACGGCACCCATGGGATGATATGGGAAAAGTAGTGGATTCTTTTACGCCGCTACTACACGGCAAACTGTTTACTTCTAAGAGTAAAGTCTAGAGTATGCAATGTTTTTTGAAACAATACGACATTTAATTGGTGTAGTGCCCAGTGACAGTGGCATAAATCTAATATATCATTGTAGATAGCTGTGATGTGATTATTTTATAATTAAATTTATAATTTTAGAACTATATAAGCTTCAGAAATAATACTATTTTAAAAGTTTTACTTATAATTATTAAAACATATACTATGTAGGTGAAATATACTCACATCCTCTGCTTCATCCTGGCGTTCCGCCCATAACTGGGTCGGCGTTATACTCTTAAAGTCATTCAACGAAGAATGTTTAAGATCCTTTTTGCCGAACTTTTTTTTCCTTTTTGGTGGCATTGGTAATGTTTGTGATAGCACCGGCATTTTATCAGGATATTCAATTATATCATCATTAGCATACTCATGAATTGAATGTAGATCGGTTGATGGAGTAAACTCTGGTCGATGATTCGTTATTCCTTCATTCTCATCGGAAATATTAACATTCAAAGGCTGTTCTTCTATTTGGTCTTCCGGTAGTCCCAAATCGACATCACTAAACTGCATACTCGCGTTAACACTGTCGTCGATATATTTGATCGATTCAGTTTCTTTCTTCTTTCGTTTTGCTCTAGACGGTCTAACGGGTGGGAACGTATAGTAACCGTCATCCCTGTCATTGACATCTTCTGTCGAATACCGGATAGCATCATTTTCGTCCATCAATAACTCTGGATCTACTTCGGTTTCATTGGCATACATATGGTCGTCATGTATCTCAGAACTACTTCCCATAGAAGCGAGGACGTTTTGTGGAATATTAAATGCTTGTCGTATTTCGTCACTCAAGTACTCCCTAACTTGGATATTTTCGCGTGATATTCCTCTCGGTCGAACGAAAAATTCGTCGTTGTTAATTTCGTTAATATGTGTGTATTCTTGTTTGGTTGATGACATGTCAGGTATAGATGTGGAGTTTCGTGGTTCCTTTAAATTGGAAGATTCTATGTCCTCGTCCATATATTCTGGACTTAATTTATCGAAATCATATGTAGTTTCAAATTGTTTTCTACCCTGTGTTTCGTTTTCATAATTGTTTTCAGTGTCAATAGTTCCGTATTCTCGTGGTTGCTCAGGACTGTCAGGAATGTATGAAGGAGGCTCTTCTTTACTCTTTTTTACCCGAGTAAATGTAAAAGTGGGTGGGGGTGTATCCTCCCTGTTTAGGGTTGGAGAGGAAGACATTTTAGGTAAGTCTTCTTTCTTTTTTCTATTGAAAAACCTTGGATAAGTTTTTGCTTCAAAGTCTACCGTTGCCACATTTTGCATATCAGAACTGGATTCTGTAACATCTGTTTCAATTTTGTATTCTTTCTTTCTACCTAAACTTGGGAAATTTATTTTAGGTCTCTCCGGCATTTTTATTTTGGAAAGGTCGGGTACATTGAACTTAGGTCTGTTTGGAAACGTAATTTTTTTCCGATCTCCACTTGTAAACTTTTCAGAAAAATTAATTTTTTTGAATTTTGGTCTTTCAGGTAGGCTAAATTTTCTTCGGTCAGGAAGCGTAAATTTCGACCTTTCGGGAAAACTGATTTTCGGTCGATCAGGCATTTTAAACTTCGAGCGCTCTGGAAGACTAAATTTCGGCCTGTCCGGCATTGTGAACTGTTTCGTTTTCATATTTTGTATTTTTGACTTTAGTTTACCTGCTTGCGTTTTAAGTTTACCAGTTCCTTCTTTAATACGCTCCTGAAGTTTTTTATCTACATTGTCGGTATTTTTCGATCGATTACTACGTTGCAATGGCAACTTTTCTAAAGCTGATGAATCCACCTGACTTGTGCTTATTTCGCATTCTGTTCTTGAAGCCGTAGATGGTGTATTAACAAAAAACCGTTCTTCTATATTTTTTTGTAATGTTTCGGCATTAATAATGTCCTCACTTTTCTCGTCATTTTCCTTATCATCTATTTGTTCCTCTTCATCGGACGTATGTTGCAAATATTTTCGTTCTAATGAAGTTGTACTTGATAGCTCGTCGTCAGTTTTTACCATAGTCGACTTCTCCTCAATGCCAGGGGCTGTATATGTTATATTTGGAGGTGGCTTTTCTATGATTTCATATTCGTGATCACTGAAATTTATACAGATAAAACTATTATATTTAACACAATTTAATATAATATGTTATACTATAAATATATTATAAAGGTGAATTAATTTAACATCGCATTCGCCTAATAAATTGCATATATATGTTCATAACAATAACCATATTTGAATTCGCTGAGCAATAAAGAATAGTTCGTTAAGTAAAAGAATATGACAAAAGAACTCGCAGACAGAATCATCGCATGTTTAAATTTATATTTAAAACTGTACACATACAAACACGTAACTCAGGTCACAATTAGGCCAACCGTCAGTGCTCGTTTTAGCCGCAGCAGTCGCCGGGCAAGACGTTTCAGTAGTTTCATATTCATTTTGTAGGTCGTAATTTAAGTCATAAAACGTCCACCAAACTATTTTAATATGAATATTAAACTTACCTCAGATTTGAAATAATATTGCTAGCTCGCGACGTCGGTCTAGTGCCAACAGGATTCACTCTTTCAGGGAGCAGTGAATCACATTGAAAAAACTGACAAGCACACCGCACTTCTGGCGTAAATAGTTGGACACTGCCTTCGCGTGTTGGTCTTACAGGCTTTTCTATTGGAGTTCCACCCTCGGATGTCCATCGCCGAAGCTTGCTCATAACTATAGCTCACCGAAATAATCTTAATTCCAAGGCATATTTTGTACTGCTTATTTGTATCCGGTTATTAGTAAATTACACATAAAGGCCCGATATTTTCAAAGAGATGACTCATTATGTAAACGTGTTTGTGAAAGCCGGGCTGTAAATGAACTAATCACCGTCGTGAAAGCAGCCGCGAGCACTGACCGCTGATGACAATTTTAAAGATCTTACCGAGCGTGCAGGAAGACGATTCGAATAGGGCTATATTTATCAAACAGGCAGAAGCTAGCGCGTTCGCTTTGCATTATGTTTAAACGTAAATGTTATGTCACATTTAGTCACTGAATTGTATTAAAAAAATGCTAAATAATTAAAATTTACCTGCTAGGTTTAGACCATTCGTTGTCAAAAACTTCGACTTCTTTCCGTTTCTGTTGAAATTCTCGAGGACTAGGGCTCGGTGATGATAAGATAGGTATTGTATTGCACTGTTCAATATTATTATCAAGGTTTTCCTCTGTGATTTCAGTTATAGTAATGTTCGGAGAGTCATTGGGTGGTCTACTTCCTTCTAACTGTTCTTGAAATATTTCATCAAAGTTAGGTTCTTCAGTATCAATGTCATCCAATAATACTGCTTCTTTATTACTGTCATCTTTTTTATGTAATTTTTCCATAATGTATTCTACATTAGGATTTAAAGAGCTATCCTCTATAACTAAACTGGGGTCCTGGGATGTAATTGACTTTTTTTCTGCTAAATACTCGTTTTCATTATTTAGTTTAACTCCGGCACTTTCTTTTTTGATACCGTTTTTTTCCGTGAATGAAATTTTTTCACTATTTTGAGATTTTGATTCTTCAATGTCTTCATAAATATGTTCTTTCTTTTTTCTAGGCGGTGGTGTATCTACGCTCATTGTTTTACTCATTTCATCAGAATCTCCTAGTTTAATTGCACTGAATTTTTGTCTGCGGACAGCTCCAGGGGAAGACTTTAACTGTCTTATTTCTTGAACTTCCTCTTTTTTCTTTCTCTTCGATATCGGTGATTGTTCACAATCATTTTTTTCTAGCTTGTGTAATGTTTTATCGGCTAAGTGTTTTATTTTGTTTACCAACGGATGACAACATTTTGTTTTTTCACGCGTTTCAGTAACACCAATGTTATATTGCTGTTCTTGAGCACGGCGTTTTAAAATACCTTTTGGAGAAACATTTTTCTGTATATCGATTGGTGTCGCTAAATGCGTGCTTGACTGACTGTCTGGTCTTTTAATTATACTCGTGTTTTGGGTTTGATTCAAAGGATCATCCTCTGAGTCCAATGAAATTTCTTTCGAAAAATTAGGGATGTGAACTCCCTCATCCTCACCTTCTTCACCATGTTTTCTACTACTACCTGGAGATGAATCGAGATTCAAGATTCTCTGAGTTTCTCCATCAGCTGGTGACTGAGTTCGTGATTTGGAGAATTCACGAGACATACTCCTTCTAGGGGTAGTAGCTCTTATAATGTCTTCAGCTGTTATTTCTCCTTCTAAAGGTGGTTTGAGGAAATGCGTCCAAGGATAACCTCCAGCTTCACGCGCTCTCCTCAAGTCTTCCCATTGGTATGTCTTTAGCGGTACAGGTGGAAGATTGTTTTCCTTATCTGTTGAAAATTCAGATTCCATATGTTTAGGTATAAACAAAACTTAATAAAAATTACGATCACTCATCCACCAATGTCTATAGTCCGTTAAAGTAGAAAGTTAATGTCCTTTCACTCCTGTTTTCACACGAACCCAGCAAATATGTCACCGTCAAACGAAGAACACAACATTTCGTCTCAAAGCTAGCTTCATCTACTGAAAACACGTTGTGTTTGCGTGGGCCAGTGTGGAAATAGGTGTGAATAAGTTGTATATTATTATCACTGCCCAATGGATTATTTTGGACTAGTAACGTGGGATTACCTTGAGGTAGTTTCAGGCTGCATATTGACCGTGCATGCTTTACAGATTGCAACGATTATTGTTTATAAATACAAAATTCACTCAATGTTATACGAATTGATAAGTAAACGATCTGCGATCGGTACAAAATCTCCGTTCAACTGGTTGCTCCGTCGCAGTTAGAGCTGCCGCGCTAAATATAAGATTGAGCATGAATTTATTTTCGGTGGGCATTTCGCGTCATCATTGAAAATTTGGGTTAGTTTTAGTTGAAACGGAATACAATTAATAACATTTAATTTTTATTAGTTTGACCTTTTTTAAAGCATTATAATATAGGGTTTCTTACCATTTATTAGTTTAAGTTAAAACGAATCGTCGTGACTTCAGTGCGCCGTTGCTCCGCTTCGTGACTGTTCGTTTATTTCAACCGATTGTACTCTACAGGCTTGCAGTTAATACGTAACACTTTACGTCAATTATTTACTTTTTCTACTTAGCAATCTGAACTTCGGTGTGATCTCAGAGTGTAATATATTATTGTACTTGTTTGTATGCGCTATATTAGTGTCTCGTAAAACAAAATTTTTTTTTAACTAAAACGTTACTACAGTAGTATTTTCTTCAATGTAGAAGATATTTTACGTACAAAAATTATATATTATGGACAGGTATCTTAAGCAGGAACACCATTTGTATTCCATACAAACAATTATTAGTACGTGATTCGATCCCACAGCACAGAAGGCCGTAGCCAAACTCTTAGCTACTGTGCCACTAAGCCGTTAAAATATAATAGTTAAAGGGTATGCAAAAATAATATAGATTATATATACGTTTTATAGTCTCTATTGAATTTACATACCACCTATCTAAAGTCCACTACTGAACTTGTCCTCCCACATAGAACGCCTCATATGTGCGATATTTGCCACAACTGTCACGCTTGCCAAGCCGGTTGGCAACCCGAGTTTATTATTCTTAATCATCTGTTATTAGGAAGATGATGCTGTAAATCTTTAGGTTCAGCTTAACTTTGTCACATGTTGTGATATGGGCTATTATTACATCACCACAACACGGTTAAATAATTCCTATCGAAAATAATTTCATTAACACTGGTTCGGAAAAAACTCTATCTAGGGAAATACCAGCAAGAAACACAGTGGAACATATTTTCAAAGTAACGTTATACAATAAAAAATTTACAATATGTTAAAAAAACTTATATAATATAAAGCTTGGCAGCGATTTCCTCATTTTCAGGGTTTATCGATTATGTATAATACGATATTACCTATAATATAATAAGCATTTTCATAAAATCTATGTTTAATAAAATAGCTTTTTAATACTATATATAAGCGACTTTGTGTATGTTCTAGGATTCCCATAAAACAATTACTGATAAATTTTTGATTCTTAATCGGGAATAGATGTACTCGTAGGTGTCTAAAGTGATCTTTAAATGATACTAGTTTTTACGGATTTTATCGCATACATATGAACATCTCAGTCACTATCGTGACCATAGGTGCTGTAAAGTGCTCGCAACGTCGGATATATAAAAAAGTAAATATACGCGTTAAACTCCGTAAAAACCAGTATTATTTACAGCACCCATGGTTATGGTGGCAATTATTATTGCAAGATATTTTATAGCTGTTACTTTTTTATATAGTGTAGGTCATTATAGATTGTACTATTACTTATGTCAAGGGGCTTAACAACGATTTGTAATGAGTTCCTTAGGTCGAATAGAGAAGTCTATTAATTTTGTTTTTTCTATGTTCAAAGTACGTAAATGAGCGTTCAACTAGTTTTTTACAATGTCAAACACTTTTTGAGCAAGGGCATAAGTTTCAGTCCAAGTTTTTAAAACACAAGTGCTGTATCATGTGCGTAGCAAAAGATCATTACGTTTAAAAAATTGATGTTACACAAGTCATTTATTATACTAAAACAAACTTGAGCCAAGAATACTTGCCAGCGGTACGCCGTAAGTAATTTGCAGATCGCAACTACTTTAAGGAGCAATCCTAACACATTTGAACACATTGAGTTCTATTACTTAAATAACTTTGGACTTTAACTGAATTTGTCTTACTTCCGTAGATCGAGGTTTTGGAATTATTACATACATAAAAACACTCACGCCTGTCACCCAGAGGGGTAGGCAGAGACTACAGACTTCCATTTGGCACGATCCTGACGCACCTCTCTCGCCTCCTTCACATCCATACACCTACGCATACATGCTCGTCGGTTAAGGGTACTCCTAATTTGGCCCGTTTTCAATAAATCGCCAATTTCGATAAATTTTCGCCTAGGACATCCCTTTCCGACTCTGCTATTCACTTCTGCAACATAAATTTTCTTTGTCACTCTTTCCTCATTCATTCTTTCCACATGACCAAACCACCGAAGCATTCCTTTCTTAATCCTGGTCACAACATCATCTTGCAAACCACACTCTTCTCTTATTACACAATTTCTTACCCTGTCGTTCAGATTCAGCCCTAACATACTCCTTAACGACCGCATTTCTACTGCGTTGATTCTACACTCGTGCTTCTTCTGCCACACCCAACTTTCACTACCATACGTTAAAGTAGGGACCAACACAGCATTGTGAATTGCCATACGTGCCTTTTTTGACACATTTTGACTCTTCACAATAGGGTGCAGGAAATTAATATAGGTATTAAAACAGTTGGTACTGTTACGCTTTTCTAAGGTCGTATATCGATATCTCAGCCCCACCGCATTCACTCCATCGCCACAGAGCTTTAGCTTTAAGCTTAAATTCCGAATGAGATAGCTAGAGTCATCTGCGCGCTAACTTGTTTATTGTGGAAGTGCGGTTGCGTTAGTGCAAGTCAACTTCACTTGTCACCTACGTAACCCAATGTACTAGTAAACCAGTACATGGATTCTGATAAATAAGACTGCAAAGGTTAAAAATGCACGGAAACCTCCGCTACATCCCAAATTATACCTAATTAAATTAACAAACATACCAGGTTTGACACTTTGGCTGTAATAACAAAGTGCGATGGAAGCAACTTGTACACCAGACAAAAATTTAATTAATTTCAATACGTTTAATTAGTAACTACATTTTTAATTAGTAGTCTACATTAAATCCACGTCATTTTAATTTTATTTGTAGCCTGGGAGTAATTACTTCCCTCTTCATTTCGTTGTCAAAATGTAAAGATTTATCTGTGGAACTCAAAACATTTTAATATTTTGAATTCCTACTGTCGTCAGTGCTTTAAATGCCTTGCTACTTGTAGGAGTTTGTTTTTAAAGTGAATGTATCATTAAATATATTGCTTGACGGTTAAACAATCTATATTTTACAAAAATCGTATATTTTAGCATTGAAAGTAATTAAAGCTTTTTTACTATATCGATTTTACGACTATCAATGCTTCCTGTCAAAAGTCCACTGTTGAACATACCCCTCCCATCGATCGTCCCATAGGGGAAGATACTTGCCATAGTTGCCTCAGATGGCAAGGGCGTTGGTAACCACAGTTTTGTATTTCTTCTATATAGCTGTTATCAGGATGAAGCTATTTCCAAACTTCTGGTTCAGTTTACCTCTGTCGCTCCTTGCGAGGTTCTGGGTTTGAATCCCGGGTCGGGCTAAAATTATTTATTAAGTTTTTCTGTCAAAAAATTATCAGCAGCCCGGTCAGGTAGTTGGCGGGGTTTCACCCCGGGTTTTTCTTATTGAATAAGGGTGACAAACTAGCACACAGTCCACCTGATGGTAAGTGGATGCTGTGGCCCATTGACATCTACATTTATCCTCGATTAAGAATCAAAACTTAGATGCGTTGTCACCCCTGAGGATTACGAATGAATGCCTCATATAAAACACAGCAGCATTAAGCTGCTATTTCACGCTGGTATTCTGTGAGAGCGTGGTCCTTCCCCGATTGAGCCGAGACATTCGTGCTACAACCATAATATAGCTACAGCGTGGCTCTACCACACATACAAAACAACACCCGGTGCCTCGAAAAGCACGTAAATCCGTTGGTTCTGCGCTTGATCCCTCTCCGGTCGTGTCGGATTATCATCTCATCGGTCTGTGATAGTGATGGAATAGACAGTGCACCTGTGCTTGCGCACAGATCATTCGGGCACTATAGTCCTGTCCTGCGCAGGCGTTGAGACTGGCCGGCGTGAACAAAATTCGGTCTGGAAAACGTTATATGGGATATAGTGGATGTTCTTTCACCGTCGCGGCAAGTGTTTACTATATTAATTTTAAACTTCTCTAATGAAATAAAATTTTATTTTTTGTTTGAGTCTTATCACAAATTAATGTGGCCAGTTTCAATGGTGATCTGATCTTGGTTTCTGAATTATTAATTCATGATTTACTTGTTTCACAATATTATTTTAAATTGTTAATTTATTGAGTAATCAACTACTGCAGTATAATTCCTTTATTGCCGTTATTTTTGTATATGTTCGTTGCTCATAAATACCGTCAGGAATGCAGTCAAGCGAAACCAGTCGGTTTTTTGTCGATAAATTTAAAGCGTGTAAAAGTGACTGCGATCACAAATATAAATTACGGATTGGATTAACGCCCGTAAAAAGATAAGACTTAGATTTGATTCTGATGCAGATTCTAAGAGATAGGACCCGGGCTGATTACGTGCGCTTAGCTATTTACAATTTGAAATTCTTCTATTGTGATGATTCTGTTTATTATTACAGAACCAAATAATAAAGTACCCAGAAATTGAAAAAAAAAAGTTCCAACTTACTGTGTTTCCTATAATGAGTGTACAGAACCATAGACCGTTACTGAATAAGAGGCGTTCCATACTCGTCCTCAGAGGTAACGACACATCTGCATTAAGATTCGTAATTGATGATAGCTGTAGATGTCTAGGGGCCACAGCATCCACCATCAGGTAAACTTTGTGTACGTTTGTCATCGTTATTCTAAACAGAAATACTAAGAAGCGACCGTGTAGCGGGGCGGGGCCAAAATATCCACTACCCCATATCATCCCGTGGGTGTCGTAA